ATGGGTACATGGAGCCTTTGGGTACCTAGTACCGAAAAGACACATTAAATAGCTTAAACCTTGCCCATGGCCAGTGACTCGAGTTTGTTGCCAGCAGCCCAAACCCGGAACCTGGATGTAGCCCTGTGGAGCTGCTCGCTCATCTTGCCAACACCAAAGAATCCTCGATCGGGTAAAGGCAGAAATTGCAAACCGGAACCGATGAATATAAATCAAAGAAACCCCTAAACCCCTGACTTTCGCCCGAAACTTCAAAAGGAATAAACACCCTGTACTATAATTAGCAGCATGGTGCCGTGCTCACACAGAATCTGGATCAGGGCCCCATTGTGGCATTGCAAAAGGCCCAGGTTTATACAATGCATTGTGCAAGGATGTATGTGTTCAACAGCAAATCCCACACATGCACAAAGCGGGTTCAGATCACCCATGGTATTGACCAGTGCATCCTCGCTAGATCGTCTCTCGAACTCGCGGTCCAGGGCGATGTCCCACCTCTAGCAGTTAATAAGGGGCTAAGCTTCAGGGTAGTTCTGGTTGTTATGGTTTCTAGATCTAGGATCTTAATACCCACATATAAATAATATAATAAAGTATTTAGTGAATAATAGCCAAGAGACGCAAGAGGGCCAGAGGCTTGTGCTTTACACATGTGGCATATGTTGGGTTTGGTATTCCAGCATGCTGTCAAGTTGTAGAACTGGACCAGCCACTTCCAGTCGCCGCGATGCTCGCAGAGCACAGCTTTCGTGCCACCTGGAATAGCAGGCGGACCCACCTCCAACCCGAAACCCAAAACACCCAACACACCTTAAGGCTCCTAGCTTTTCGGGTTTACANNAGATAGATATATGTGGGGGTTATTTTTTAATTAGCATAGTAACACTTCAGGATTTTGTTTTAAAGCGACTGGAATTGCCAGCTTCATGTACACATCTAGATTTTCGATATGCTAAAAGCATGCCGGCTGAATCTGGCGCTGCTGCTGCTCATTACATCGAATATCGATGGGCGACCTGTCCTGCAATTGGTTGTCCAGCCAAACCAGCCTTTTCTCGTGGAAGCTTGTTTCCGTCCACGTCACATTGTGGGTGGACTCCATGGTAAAGAACCTAGTGCATGTAATTGGACTGGTCACCTAGCTGACCTAGCTTGCAATCTTAACTGCAACAATGACTATTTAAAGTGAGAACTTAAGGATTGCTTCAGCAACAAGCTGCGTTGAGGCTCCAGGCCAATACCCGGCATACAGGAAAGAGTGAGGAGTTGCCCTTGCAGAGGTACTCTCTCAAGGTGAATATCGGATATCTTTTCATTTCCCCAGGCTTATCCTGGTGTAATACTGCATTGAGCGAAATCATGATCACCTTGTCGCCTCCCTTCGTGTACCTTGCGTCATCGCCATATATTCCTAAGGGCACCATGCCGAAGCCCTGCGGCTTGCGGCCAAGACCCGCCTCTTGTCTCTTCCAGTAGCTGCTCAGATCTTGGGGGCTGATTCGAAGCAGGTCGTTGTCCTTGATTGCACAGTGCGCACACAAAACACGCACACACACACACA